ACACGCTGTTCTGTGACCTCGCACTGACTCATAACCTAGATTTAAACCAACCAAGAGGCCAAGAACTACATTCGCATCTACTCACGCCTCCTCCACGGTAAGCCTTTCAAGACCACAGCCGAAATGAAAATGTACACAAACCATGTCTCTCAAATCGGGCCGCTCAACACAACGGCTAACCACAAAAGCACACCCAGGTAACTCCTCCTACTTAGCAAAATGCCTTTGGGCCACGGGACTGTTTCTAAAGAGACAAATTCTCCAAAAAGCTGGCTAACGTTCAGTGACAAGGGCCGCTGGGTCCACTTCATCTGCCTCTGCTGAAGTAACACGGCCATTCGTTCAGTGGAGTCCTCCCAGCTGCCCCTTCTCCTCATTCCTGCTTTTAAAGGTTTTGCCCACTCTGAGGCCATGTCGAGCAGCACATCTCCCACTGAGAACACAGCCTTGCACCACGAAAGTGAGAACCGTGCTGCTGCGTGGATAAATACGTTGTTGTCAGTGGCTCTAAAGGTAGGTAGCTTAGAAAAGTTTAAGTACCAGGGAGGGCAGAGGCATGCAGGACAGATATACAAATAGGTGCCCTACTTGAGAAGTAAGCTGACACCTAAGTTCTTGGCCCATCTCCCTGCCGACTGCAGAAAGTTAGAGATACCCTGACGGCATGCTGACGAAGATCAGAGATCATCACTCCAGCCCTTCTGTGCCTGCCAAGATTGCCCCTGGAATCCAAGTCCCAGGGCTGTGTCTGCCCTACAGCTGGCTGGAGCCTGCAGAGAAACACACCCTCACCTCCTCACCTACAGCCCCGCCAGGAGCACAGAGCCATGGATGGATGGATGGATGGATGGACGGTTGGATGCATAAGAGAGCCGAATGCAACCTGCAGGAAGGAAGTCTTTGTTCCTCCGGTTCACTTCCCCTTCCCACTGGTGTGGTTCTTCCTTCTACCTCAATTGAAAGGATTGGAGTCAGCAGACTATGGGAGGGAGGGATTACATGGCACCAACTCCAACCAGGAGCTGGCAGCTTTCCAGGGGACCTGAGGTACACTCGCCTAAACCAGGGAATCCAGGTCTCAAAGCCAAGGACAAGAGGAGACTTACCTACACTGGGAGTCTGCCCAAATCCCTCAGATTGTATCCCCCAAATGACAACTCTCCCGCTTTGAGTAAAGCCCAGGTCAAAAGGTACCAAGTCAGTGACCCCTGACTTGGAGCTGTGCCCCCTCCCCATCACTGGCCATTACTGTCACTAAGAACACATTAAGCCAGGAGGGCTGGTGGGTCCTAGCAACATAAAGCACCAGTCCAGCAAACTCACCACAACGATTCTTCTAAATCTCCAAGACCTCGAGTCAAAAGGAGGACACAGCAGACACAAAATGCATCGCGGGTCCAATCTTTTAGATTTCAAATTTTTCCAAAACCAGCACTAGCTTGGGAGCGAGTATACACAGAGGCCCAAAGAAAAGAGAACTCGCTTCAGTCCCTTCCCTTCGGGTTCCCATCCTGTGATCACAAATCACTACGTGAAAATAATTAGCTGGACCACAGAGTCAGGAGTCACTACCGTGCAGTTTGGCCTGACAGGAGTCTGGTTTGGTGGTCAAGGACAGTCTGGGAAAGAGAAAGGGTCTAGAAATAATGAATAATGATGAAACTAGTGTTGAGAAGTCTCTTTCCTGAAGCTAAGCTCCTTGAAGCGGTTAAAGAACTTAGCAGACTCCAGCCCCTCTTCATGAAGCCCCCCCTTCTATTTTGTGTTGCCCATCCCAGAGCATTGTCACCTGACCTCGATTCTTCCTTAGACTTCCTTAGACTACCGGGCCACACCTGCAGTGAGGGGGCAGCACTGGGCCCTCCTTTTCTCTCCTGCCTCACACCATCAGCACAACAGCGGCCACACCTAGAGCCTCACTTTCACTATGGAGCGGGGAGGTGTGTCTGAGAAAGCCAGCAACTTCAGAGACAAACGGGCTGGGCTGTTCTCTCCGGCTTGGTTTTTTAATTACAAGACTGATTTTTATCTCCAGGTCATTTCTTCCAGGAAAGACTTAAGAGCTAGCCTCCTCATGTACAGAAAAGGTAAGTAAGTGAAACAAGTCATAAGACAGGTAGGTCTTAAGGACGACAGTGAAACGGCCCTGTCTAGCTCACTGCACAGGATGGAAGGCAGCTAAGAAGAAAATCAACTTCCACCGGCGGCTTCCAGGATGAGTACAGAGGCGTGGTTTCTCTCCAAATCTCTTTCTTCCACCGTCTGCAGGTCCCACACCTGGTGCATGGGGCGGGAAGAAGGCAGTGAATATACTCTCCACTATTCCTCAAAAGGGATCGTTTTCCAGTCTACATTTCATCCTCTCATGTGACAAGCACATGAAACAAAGATTCGGGATGGCATTTTAAGTCTGCAGCAGAAAGAATATGGCTATTCAAAAGGAGATATTTCAGTCCCTTAGCATCTACTAAACACAAAGGTTTCCTTCATGCCCCAAGGTAACGCATTCAGCTTTCAAACTCTTCTTCGGTACAATTATACTTCCAGCCGGGGCCATTCACTCCCCGATGGTGAAACTGGAAATTCACCATCCCCACAGCAAACTGTGTCTGTTCTATGGTCAGACAGACACGGAACTGCCTGTGAAACAAAAGCAGACTAAAGAACTGAGGCCGTCTTTCAAGTCTCGCCCCAGTCGCAAATAATAAGCAACTGTATGAACGAACAAGCAGATCCCTGAATGTGTTCGAATACTTGAGTGCTGAGTAACAGTGCTAGTTAGAGTCGCTATACGGTACTTCCAGACTTAGTTTTTTTTTTTCCTTTTCTTTCATCTCTGGAAACTTATGCAGAGCCACACTAGCTATTTCCCTCAGAACTTCGCCATAAGACACAAAAGGCATCTGCCATTATCACGTAATTGCAGCTGGCTCATCTCTCCTGTTGTTGAGGCTTGTGTTCAACGACAGTTAAAATAAGAGCTTTTCTGAGCACCAAGTGACCCCAGCCAGCCCTGTGAAAAACTCAGTGGGATGGTGACAAGAGCACAGCACTGGGTGTCGGCTCACACAGTACCTCCAGCAACCCTGAGAGCTTAAAGCAAGAGCACCAGTGTCTCTGGCATCCCCATCTCAATTGTGTAATGTGCCCACAGGACTAGAAAGCCTCCAGCCCCTTCTTGAGCCACGAACTGCAGGTGATAACAAAGAGGATGAACTAACACTTTTTACCAGTATAAGGTACGGCATCAGGCAATTCACTTATCCCAACAGTGCCAAGAGACACATATTGCTTTGTTAGCGCTTTAAACTATAGGTTCGTGATTAGGTAACCTGAACCAGTTCAAGGACCGGGCTTCATAGGCCTGTCCACTCCGGGCTCTGCGTTCCTGTCGGCAGTAAGTAGCCCCCTCTTCTCAGCAACTCAGAATCCCCTTATGAGAAGTCAACTTTATAAGTAAGAACCAAAGGACAACAAGTGACAGTAAAATCCAAATCTAAATTCGAAGACACGGCCCACAGCTGCCTGGCAAGTGCAAGGTCCCGCGTTTGATTCCTGGTACCAGAAAAAAAAACACAAAAAGACGAAGCAGAGGTGATTTGAACTCCACTGCAGCAACTCACACAGAGCACGCAGGCAGAACAATGCGTCCTTTTTGGGTCACTCAGGAAATGATATCCTTTTCCCTACATCTGAGTCCCACATACAAAGGGGAAATACCCCAAAGAAGTACCTACGGCCTCAAGACAGTGGGGCTGACTAACCAGCTCTTTTCCATCCTCACAGGGGAGTATTTTCATAGATGATTCATCTAAATAAAGGGACTTAGCCTTCTAAACCCTAAAATTACTTGTATGTCGGACCTCTTTGTTGGATATACTTCCAAAATATATTTCATTCTCCCCTCACTTCTTAAATCTCACAATTTAATTTCCAAGTCATAATTTCAAATGTTACTCCCTTCAGTCACTCTGCAGTGCCACACGGAGGGGTTTAACCCTGCACTGAAGCCATCGTAACAGGGAAGCTGTGGTGTCTGGGTCCTGGTCTGCTCTTCATGAGCTCGGCTATGAGGTTAGATGGACACGGACCCGGGGAGAACACCTGACCTGCCTCAGCTACAATTAGCAAAGTGATCTATGTAAATGCAACAGGACTAAGTTTTCTCACCTGTGTCATGGAGTTTGGTTTGTTCTTTCCAAATCCCCTTACATAACGTACCTCCCCTCTGCTCTTCTCTCTCCACACCCTTTCCTAAATATCCTCTAAGACTCTTTACTGAACCTATTTGAATTCAGAAATGTAGGAAGTTAGGTGGCCAAACTCTCTCTTCATTCAAGTAAATTAGAAAGAATAAGATTACTACGGCCAGGCCATCATGAAAAAGGAGAAGAAAGCAAAATAATACTTTGGTGTTGGAGGGAAAAAATTAGGGAATATCTGCAAAGACCACAAATAGATTTCAAAAAAACACACAGCATTGGGGCCAGGGATTTAGCTCAGTGGTTCTGCCACCTACCTTGCAAGTACAAGGTCCTGAGTTTTTGATCCCCAGTACCAAAAACAAAAACACCACACAGCATTAAACGTGTGCACGAGGAATACTTTAAGAAAGAACAATGACAAAAAATATATTCTTGGATTGGACAAATGGATTTAAAAGGAAAAGCTGTGCGAGAAAAAGACATAGCAGGGGGTGATACAGGCAGAGAAGCCTTCTGGCCCCAAAGCTCAGCAGGCTGAGGACACAACCTCTCAGACTCCAATGACCTAATAATGGAGTAATCAGATGCAGGGGAAATAAGAGAAAAGCAGAGAAGGAAAAGAAAATTTCTGAGCAAAGCACAAGGACTGAAAATGAAACCCACTCCAAGATAACATACCATTGGAGGATTTGGGGTTGGTGGAAATGGAAGACAGAGACATTCATCCTAAGTTGGGTGGCTCAGGAGACCATCGGGCTGGTCCCTGTGCGCGGGCAATGGCTAGGAATAACCTACCTTCAGGGAAGACCAGCGAGCAAAGGAAACGCAGCCTGCTAGGATCTCTGCCAGCTCCACTCCTGCCGTCTCCCCTCTGGTGATGACCACCAGCCCCCAGCCGCATGTCAGAACTTTCTTCATTAAGATGACTGTCCAGTATTTTAGAATACAGTCGTGGAAAATATTTTGGAATTGTAGTCCCATGATGTGGACTCAGCCTCGACTTTCCACTTACAGCCTGGCAGATCTGAAGCCAATCTCTCATTTGACCTCTCTGGGCTTCCCTTTCCTCTCGGGTAAAATGGGGAGGAAAAATTACTTTCAGGAGAGAGCTGTAGAAAGTAATCAAGGTCATGCAGATAAAACAAGCAGCACAAGGACCAGCAGGTGTTAGTATTCAAAGTGTGGCAGTGACAGTGATGTGGTAATGATGAAAGGGGAGGGGGGAGTGGGAGGGCAGGGGGAGA